GCCCGAGCCACGGCTGAGCAGCTGCGGGCCGCGATGCCGCTCGCCCCGGCTCCCGCGCCGCCTGCGCGGCCGGGAAAAGTGCCAGTCATGCTACGGGGCAGGCCGGGCCTAGGCAGGGCGGCAGCGGGCTGCGATGAGTAATCCCCGGCCGAGGCCTCGGTGCTGCGGGCGGTGTCTCCGTCGGGGGAGAGGGAAGGGCGGAGGGCGCCGGGAGGGCGAGCCGGTGTCCCGGGGCCGCTCCCGGGGAGCGGGCGAAGCGAGAGGGGCCGCGGGGGAGGCGAGCTCGCCCGTTTTGGGCAGCCCCGTACCGGCACAGGAGCAAGCTGCGAGGTGTCACGGCGCAGCTGGTGCGGAGGCATGCCCGTCCTCCCGTGCCGGCACTGAAGTGCGGTGCCCTAGGCGGCCTTGATTTACTGTAATTTACAATATGAATTCCAAAACCCAATTAAAAACTAATAACATAAACACACCGTATTAGGCTTTAAGAACCGCACAGAGGAGTGAGATAGACTTGGTGTGCAGATGTTTAAATGGGCTGGGCTAACACAGCAGCCATCCAACAGCAAGAGAGTACACCATAAAATCCTAGATCTTATTGGTCTGAGCACGTTTTCTCATCTGTTTGTTTTTGCTCCGGGAAAAAAAAAAAAAGCAAGCTTCATTTGACATACTCCTTTTTTTTTTTTTTCCCCTCTTTCAGATTATGTCATAACTACAATATAAACGAGCAGTGATGGAATCACTGGACACAGAGGTGAGAGCACGGAAGACTCTGGGGACTGTTGAATATGTAGAGTCTTCGGGTTTCACCCAGGGAGTGCTGCCAACCAAGAAGGATGTGGTTCAGAATATGCTGTACTTGTTGCAGCCCAAAAGAGCTGGTCAGGCCCAGCGGTCCAAAGAAGATGCGGCCCAGTTGCTCGCTGAGCACCTCCAAGAGCACTGGTTGGTTTGTAACTTGCACACCATCGCGACACAAAATATAAAGAAACTTATCCTCAAAATGTATGAGGAGTTTACCAGATTGTATCAGACCAGAAAGCAGAGACAGAACCAGGCTTTTACCGAGAGAGCAGACAAATTCAATGAGAGTTCAGAGAAGCTCTTTGATGTATTTTGTACAGATGCGCAGACGAGAAATAAACTGGAGGAATACAGTGGGATAAAAATGACTAGCATCGAGTGGAAATTTCTTGAAGATCAAAGAAGCGAAAGAAAAATGTACTATGAAGATTTCACAGACAAACAGGAATTGAAGATGATGGAAAGAAGACAAAAGATACAATGTTTGGAGCACTTCAGAAAACTCGCTAGGGAGGAAAAGGAAGGAAACAAAGCGAAGGAAATGAAATACAAAAGTGACGAGCAATCAGACGAAGGCACAAGCGTGGATGAGTCTTACCCTGCAGAGGAGGAGAACGGCGGGGCTCCGGCCTTTTCGCTGCGGGGCAGAAGGAAGCGCCGGTGCACCGCGAGTCCTGCGAGTGCCGCCATGCCCCTGGAGTGCCAGCATATACGGATGAGCATCAGGAGAGTTAGGCCTGGGTTCTACGAGACTGTGGAGAAGGTCAAAAACTGCTAGCGCATGCCGTGGTCGGCAGGCAGAGCTGCTGGAGTATGAGGTGGCAAGGCACACGTTAGGCAAGTTTGAAATCCCACCATCAATTGGAAGTGATTGTTGTAGATCCCCAAGCCAGAGCTCAGGAACACCCTGCCTCCCGGGGAGCACGCTGGGACGGCGGCAACAGCAGCAAGGACTAAAAGACGTGAATTTGGAAGGATAAGTAGTCAGCGGCTAACAATGCAAAGGCTCAAACATAGCAGAGGATCTAAGGTTACGTAGCATATAAGCCTCTTCTTCCAAGGTCCTGTCTACATCAGTGGGTTCTTAGAAGTCTCTCGCCATTTCTGAGCCAGTGGTGGCCTAACAGTATGAAACAGGACTTGAATTTACTGCAGGGAAATAACGTGGACTTGTTGCTAATCAAAAATTCACGTGCCGAAAAGCCCTAACTCCTGGTTTCGGTGGGAGGAAAAGGTGCTGGGCCCCTTTTCAGCAGAATTTGGCGTTTCTGAGAGGAAGGAAGCTGGTTTTCAGCCTGAATGACCCAGCCCCGGAGAGGCGCCCTGGGGTTTCGTGAAGGGATTGCTCTCTTGCTCAAGGAGGGGGAGAGAGAGAGATTGGGAGACATTTGAGTGCTTTGGCTGTGAAAGCATTGGTGATTCTGAATGTTTTATTCTAGATTCTATTTTAATGACATTTTCTTGATCAGGATAAACCTTCCCATAGTTGGATGAGTTTTAACATGAAGTCCCTAATCTAGGATCTGAAGTGTGAATCCTAAATGAAGTGGTAATGTTTTATCTTCGGGGGGTGGGGTGGGGTGGGTGGTGTAAGATAGGGGGAAGGATGAAAATTGCATCATTTAGTTTTAAGATGGGAAGAATTTTATAAACTGTTATCCTGCCACCTTAGGATATAGGGAAGAAGAAGCCTTCCCAGGTGTGGGTAGCTGTGGTATTTGCAGCAAAAGGCTCCTGAATCTGAGCTTGCTTTTCCACCCGCCATGGTCCTGCAGACCAGCAGGGTGGAAGTGGTAGCTTTCCACCCAGAGTTTGTTTGAACAAAGTATAACCCTCTTGCCCACGTACATCCTGAGCAGTGACGTGTCTGATTTTAGATACCTGCAGTACGAGGGTATCAGCCCGTTTTAGTTAGAGTTGCTTTACTGGTTTTTAAAGATGAGAGACTTGAACTTTCAGTGGCACCCAGTGCTGGAGGTCTCTCTGGTGAGATTCCCAAACCTTGCCAGACTACACTGAAAATTAAAAACCCCGAGACTCTATTTGTCCACAGAAGCTCTCTGGTAGAAAAAGTGCAGACTTGCCTGGTTTTCAAATTTACCTTCCAGTGTGAATGTTGGTTTCCCCACTCCAGTATCTCAGCTTTTTCCCGTTTCTTTCCTCTCCGTCCTGCACATCATTTTACTGACATTAACTCGTGCTGTTTCATTCTTTGGCTTTTGCTCCCTTTAACAATAAATGCATGTACAAATAATTTTATCAGTTCCTTTACTTTTGATAAATCAGTTCTTGGACTGCTTTGAAGTCCTATGCCAAAGGAGGAATGAAACGCAGATTAGCTGCTGCTCCGAGGGGGATGCAGCAGAGCGCGGGCGGGCGGCGGTGGGGACCTGGCCTTGCTGCTGGGGCGGGCTGCGGCGTGTCCCCCCCCTCCCTCCGCCTGCCCACGGATCCGTCCGGCTCCCATGCGAGGCATCAGCTCCCTAGGCACCTTGCTCGGTAGCAATTGCTGGGATCCTTATTCTGTGTCTCTGAGAAGTTCCTCATGGTAAGTTGCTCCAAAATATTTAGCGAACTCTTGTGTATTCTGCATCACTCGTAGTGTCGTCGCAGGTTTAATAGCACGCGCCCATGTTCTGCAACGCCCTTCGGCCTCAGCTGCTTGAGAGTTCGCAGCCCTCTTTCTCCTCTTCTCTCTGACGTACTTCACTGACTTCCCCCATGCAAATTATGTTACATTTAAACTATTTGCCTTTCAGCCCTGAGGTGCTGGACTTGAGCCTCTCACTGGGCTTTTACACCAGCAGCTCTGTTTCAGCAGGGAATATAGCCAAGCTCGGACCTCACCGAAGTAGAATTTTTTTTAATAACTGCTGTAAAACCCCCTTTGTATTACAAATATAGCTGACAGTATAAATGCTCGTGTGTAAAGCAAATCCACCAGGGTTGACTCGAATATGGAACACAGCTGTATAGTGCTTTATGATTTTCAGGGAATTTAAGGTTGTCGAATCCGACTTCCTGTATACCACAGGGAATTACATTTCATCCAGAAGCCCCACACTCAGCCTACTGGTTTCAGTTTAACTGACGTGTCTTACAGAAAGTCGAGCTGAAGACGTCAGAAGTCTGCTGTCTTCCTCAGTTATACACTTAGTGGTTTGTCACCTTTGCTGTTTTAAAAAAGGAAAAAAAAAAAGTCTGACCATCTTCTAGGCTGTGATTCTTTTTCATGACATCTTGTACAGGCTGAGCGGTGTTTATCGCATTTAAATCATACTTGGTTTTTTTTTTTAACTGGGTTTGACTGTGGATAGAGCCAAAGCCTGGCTCTGTTTCTGCTGCAACAGGGGGAAAATTTCTAAATGATGTATTCTGATTACTCTTCTTTGGGACCATGGTGCCTTTTTAATCAGGACAGTAAATCTTGTCCCAGGATTCTGTACTTTTGTACGTTAACAGTTGTTGACTTTCCTTTTTTGGTGTGTCCCAAATAAATTAATATAACATACATTTGGGCTTTGGTTTCTTCTTTCTAAAGGGGGAGGAAAGAGGAAACTGAAGCTAAAATAAATCTTATCTACTCCAGCTCTCCCTCGCAGACTCTGGCAGGAGCCACCCTCATTGGACTGCGTGGGGCAGCAGTAGGGAACCTGCTAGAGATGGAGGCCAGGATCGGGGCCCTACCTGGAACCCTTTTTTGGTTTTTAACCAAAAATGCTGGAGCCTGGAGCAGCCGAAGGTAAGGGGAGAGGGGTGAGAGCTCTGCACATGGTGGTGGTGTTTCACTGGGACTGCCGCTGTGCTTCAGGCTTGGGGAGGGGAGGCGAGGGGGCACCTGGTCTTCCTGGGGTGATCCCACGGGGCAGCCCCTCGCTTCTGCCTGTTCTCTCCTGACAGGGATTCAGGAATGTGCTGTACAAGAGGAGCACGGGGTAGGTGGTGTCAGAGACACGCAGGGTGATGGTTTGTGCCGTGGGACCTTGGCAAGGAGGGGAAATGGGAAGAAATACTGGAAAGGGCCCGTTTGCTTCAGCAGCTTTTCCCAGGAGGACGGAATCCAGGTGCATCCTGGGGCTACAGATGCTTTTGATGGGCACCGAGTTGCTGATTTAACTGGCTGTTTGTAGAGAAAAATCTTCAGCTATCAGTCAGATTTGAGCTCAAATTGAACTGGCCTACCTCAAGCCTGTCGCTCTGAGTTCTGCAAGGGGAGCAAGTGAAAGGAGAGGGCACCCCGAAACCCAAGGGTGGCTGGGCTCCTCAGCACCCCAGCCTGGGGCCCCTGTAGCAGGGCAGGGCTCATGCCAGCCCCAGGGTGGGTTTTACGCCCCTCTGCAAGCTAAAGCTGACTCTTCATGGCCCTTAGAAGTACCTTTCAGCTGCCGAGGTTGGCTCTGAGCGAGGTTGTACAGGAGTACCCATCTGATCTCCCAGGACATAGGTGCCTCTTCATGTGGCTCCTGGCAGCTGCAGCTCTCCCTCCTGTGTAGCAGGTCAGAAAGGGCAAGGAACATAATAAAACCACCCAAAATGCAAATTATCACACTATGGAGCAGACTGGATGTGGAAAATAATCTGTGCGTGATTCAGAGCACAGGAACAGTCACAAAGTTGGAATTTGGAACAAGTCAAAGCCCAGCGCTGTGGGCACAGGGCTGGTGGCTGCCTTGGGCAGCACCTGCCTGTGAGGGAGCTCCTGTAGCCATGGGCAGGTGGGCACAGGGAGGGGGGAGCCAGCCAGCCCAGCCTCGTCCTGGAGGTGTCACACAGCCCAGTGCAAGGTGGTGGTAACAAATGGCAGCACTGCAGGTGGGACACTGAGAAAAATGGTTTTCTTGGGAAGGGTGGAGCAGGCCTGTGAGGCTGTGTCATGAGTGTGCTTGTGCTCAGCGCCGGTGGCTGGGCTGCCGGCGAGCTCCAGGCGGGGAGGTGAACCTCCCATTTGCCTGACACCCATGTTTTGTCCCCGGGGTGGACGCACGGGGCAGGTGGTGGCAAAGCCATCCCTGCCACAGCGCTGAAGTCCTGGTGTGGGGCACAGCAACCCGACCCCCTCCCACAACTCCTAGTGCCTCCACAGGAAAAGTCACCCCCAGTCCTGAAAGGAGCTTCAAGGCAAGTATTTCCTCGGGTTAATGCATTAATTTATTAACCAGAACTGCGTGAGGGTATTTCCTGCTTTTGCAGAGGGTGTTACCTGATTCTTCCCGAGCTTCTGGATAGCAGCCGCTTCCTCCTGGCACAGCTTTGGAGCCAGCAGAGACCACTCCATTTTTTTTAATATTTCCTGGTAGCTGTCCCTGCCCCTATAGCCTTGCGCCGTGCCGTGGAGCACCCCCTCTTGCACCCCTGCCCCATCCTGCTCGGGTTGGGTTTTGCTGTACCACAGGGGTCAGGTGCTGCCCTGCAGTGTGGGGACAGCTGTGCACAGCCACGGCACCCCTGGCTGAGCCATCCGGGCAGCAGGGACTCTGGATGGAGGGAGAGAAGCTGGAAATGAATCCTGGGGAAATCCCAAATGTTTGGGAAGAGGGATGGGAGCTTTGGAGCTTTCTCTTTCCTGTATGCCTGGTACAGAGCTGCCAGACGTCCAGACTTTTATATGCCAGATGGTCCTAAGGACCTAGTTTCCTCCAGCTCCAAGTTTTTCACAACTGTGTGTTTCCAGTTAAATCACTTTATTGCCCAATTTCCCTGAGCAGTTGATGACAGCTGCGGGCAACGCCTGCCCAGGTAATCCCTCGGCTCCCTTGGGGGGCTGCCATCCCTCTGGCTGGATGGAGGGCAGCAGTGTGACGCTTCAGGGGGGTTGTTGGCTCGTTCAGTGTCCACAGTTGTACTCAGATGCATGTTTCCAGAGTTTCTTTGGTGTCAGGAGGTGGTTTGCAGGTAGCCAGGGCAAATATTCCCATTTTTCCCCTGCTGTCAGGGCATTACTTCCCACGTGCTCCTGTGGACGAGTTTCTGAATGAGAAAAGCAGGTGCTGCGGAAAGTCCAGAAATTTTGGGGTGATGCCTGGCTGACGGCGGCGACGGGAGAGGTGGGGGCCTCTGCACCAGCACCCTGGCTGGGCCCCCTCTCCCCAGCCACCCCCGGGTGGTCACCGTGGGGTTGGGTGTCCTTCACCAGTGATAGCAGCTGATGTCATGTTGCCTGTTGATGCCCGGGGCTGGGGAGCAGCCTGACCCCAAACCCCGGGGATGGGGGGTGCGGTGGTGCCGCAGGGACAGCGGGCGGCAGGAGGGGCGATCTCGGGTTACACAGCCTCGTACAGAAATGAGTGGGCTGGCGGGATCCTGAGGATGTTCCCGCTGTCCGTGGCTGGGACTTATTAAAGGGATGCGTCGGGGCGGGCTGCTTGGCCCCGGTGGCGTCCCCACGGCATGGCGGGGCCGGGGGCCGAGGGCGACCTGCGGCACCTGCTGAAGCTGCACCGCACCGAGATCGCCATGGCGGTGGATGACGTCTTCCCGCTGCTGCACGGCCTGGCTGACCACGACGTCGTCCCCGAGCACGTCTTCAAGGTGAGGCTGCGAGCTGGGCAAGGATGGCCGTGCTGCGGGGCCAGGGGCTGGCTGGTGGCACCGGGGTGATGCATGTCGACCGGTGGCACCGCAGGAGACGCTGAGCCGGATGGAGCGGGAGGGCTCCCACCGTGCTTTCCACGCGCTGCTCACCTGGCTGCTGGGCCGTGACGCTGCCACCATCCGCGACTTCTGGGCCGTCCTCTTCAAGGACTACAACCTGGAGAGGTACACCCGGCTCCGGCCCCTCCGTGGCGCCTTTCCCAGAGGTAAGAGCGGGGCAGATGCTGCAGGAGGGGTCACTGGCACCCCCGGGGGCTGCCGGCAGGCAGGGGTGACGCGCAGCACTGGCAGCAGCTGTCCCTGTCCCCTCTGCAGAGGTGGAGCTGGGGCGGCAGCGCCATGGGAGGTGCCTCTCCAGCAGCCCCACCGCGCCGGCCCGGCACAGACCCCAAGGCAAGAGGAAAGCCCCCGAGGAGCGGGATGGGGCCCGAGCGGTGGAGCCCTCCCCGCGGCACGTCCCCAGCCCCGGTACGGAGACCGAGTGGGAGGCAGATGGGGTGGGGTGTGGTCCCCGAGGCGCAGTGGGGTGCTGTGCCCCATGATGTCACCCTCACAACCCCACAGGGCCCCTGGCGAAGACAAGAAGTGTGAAGAAGCCGGAGGGCATGGATGGCTCCCGCACCCCTCGTGCTGGGGGTGAGTGCTGACACCTCCCCCACCTCCCCCTTCCCTGGGGCAGCATTCGCCTGTGCACCCTGTTTGCCTGCAGGTAAGGGCGGGGGGAAGGCTGCCTGTCCCATTGAGCTGCCCCCCTGCCTGCAGCCCTCCAGGCAGTGGCCACCTCAGTGCAGCGAGCAGTGGCCGTGGCGGGCAGCGAGGTGCCAGTCACCCGCGGGGCTGTTGAGAGCATCCTCATCAAACACGTGCTGGAGCCAGGTAGGTGCAGCCCAGCCCAGCCTGGTTTAGTTCCCAAATTTAGAAGCCGCTCCCAGGCGGTGGGGGGGGAGGGAAGGAGGGACACCCCCCACCCCCCCCACCCTGGAGCTGCTCTTGGCCTCTCTTGCAGGCAGCTCCAGGATGAGCAGCAAAGCAGGGGACGAGCCCTGTGCTCCAGCCACCTGTGAGGAACCGGGGGCCAGGAGCAGAAGCCACAGCCTGAAGCCCCCCACCCGGCCCAAGGCACCCCAAAGTGTACAGACACCCCACACACCTGCTTTAGCCCCCACATTTGCAGCTGCCCAAGGCTGCAATGGGGGCTTGTCCCTTCCTGGTGGCACAGCTGTGGCCTGGGCTGTCCCCCCGTGCTGTCCTAGCAGCTCCTCCAACACCCCTCTTACCTCGCCCGCAGAGTGGAGAGCCTCGACTGCACCCCCAGGGCCGGCTGCCAGTACCCACTGTGCACAGCCAGGACCCCACGCCCCACCAGGTGAGCCCCAAGCACATCACCTGGTGAGCTGGGGGCTGTCAGGGTATCGCCAGCATGTCCCTGGGGCCTGGCCAAGCACAGGGGGTCCATCACAGGGCTCCAACCCCCCAAAACACACAATTCCCAGCCTGAGAGGGGTTGGGGTGTTTGGTGCAGGACAGGTGCCGTGGGGGTAGAGGGTGAGGGTGTGGAGAGACCGTGGGGTCCCCTGTCAGGGTGAGCCCTGCCACAGCCATGGCTGCAGCCTGCAGGGGGGGTGGTGGCAGTGAACCCCTGCCTGCTCCCCTGGGGCAGGAGAATGAGGATGAGTGTGCGGCCTGCGGTGACGGCGGTGAGCTCATCTGCTGTGACGGCTGCCCCAGGGCATTCCACCTCGCCTGCTTGGTGCCCCCGCTGCCCCGCGTCCCCAGGTGAGCCCCAGGGTGCACAGGGACCCCGGTGCCCTTCCCGGCTGCCCCTCACTGCCCTGCTCCGGCTGCACAGCGGGACGTGGTGGTGCGGCTCCTGTGCGGGGGGCGCAGCCGAGTCGGGGCAGCTGCGGGAGGTGGCTGTGGAGCGACCCCGTGAGATGCCGGCGGAGGAGGCGTGCGGCACCCAGGACAACGATGGGATGATCTGTGGACGCTGTTTCACCCACATCCCCACACCTCGGCACTGCTCCACGCCCAGCGGGGACCCCGGGTGAGCCCCTGCCATCCCCCACATCCCAGCCTAAATCCTCCCTTGCGGAGGGGCTGCCCTGACGGTCCATGTCCCCCCCACGGGACGTAGGGGGCTGCTGCTCTGCACATCCTGCGCGGGCCCCCCGGACACAGGCAGCCTCGACAGCACCGTGGTGGCCGGACACCACCCGCTACAGGCTGCCAAGGTGGGTACAGGCAGTGCCCAGCCTGGGGAGGGAAATGTTCAGGGGGAGGTACAAAGGGTAGGATGAGGCCGAGGAGTGATGGCCCAAGCTAGGTGAGGGACGGGTGAGCGGTGGCTGCAGGACAAGTCAGGTAGTGACATTGTGCTAGAGGGGCTGTCAGCTGAGATGGCACCAGAGACTGAACCCAGACACCAGCCCTGACCCAAAAGGGTACAGGCAGAGGGCAGACTGGAAAGCTGGCAGGATGTTTCCTCGCTCAGGCAGAGGACATCTCCCCCAGCACCGACCCCGCGCTGAGCAGGGATGAGCTCGACGCTCTCCTGAGTGAGGTACGGCACTGGCGGGGGGACACACTGACAGTCAGAGTCCACCCGCTGGGGACCATGGCGCTGATGTGACCCAGAGAGACATCAGGCTGGGAGCAAGGGGGGGACGGGAACTGAAATGAAGAGTGATCCCAGGGCTATCCCGCAGGGGGCCTGGGATGGGATCCTGCACTGGGCGTTCCAGAACATGGCCCGGCCCCTCGCAGACACACAAGGACTCTTCACCTGATGCAGCCTGGCGGCGGCGGCAGCCCGGCAGCGCAGGGGAGGCAGAAAGAGGCACAGTCGGGGTGTGCGCCAGGAACTACACAGGAACCAGGGCATGGGGAAAACACGGCATGTCATTAAACAAAAACATCCCCCAAGAAACAGGAGAGACGTCTGCAAAGCAAGGGCTACGGAAAATGATTATGAAAAAGTGGGTGGAGAGAATACGTGAAAAAAATAAAAGAAAAAAAACCGGAACAGCCTTTAACAAATAAATAAAAGCCAAAAAGAATTGAAAAGAAAACCCCAATCCAACCTGCCTGAATTGCCCGTAAAAGCAACTGCAAAAAATAAAAGTTCTTACTGTAGTAATAACCCAATAAAAAGAAAAAGGCAAATGATGCCAGCCCGGCCCGCAGCAAAAGCCTACAGCACCCGGTATTCCCAGGCGGTCTCCCATCCAAGTACTAACCGGGCCCGACCCTGCTTAGCTTCCGAGATCAGACGAGATCGGGCGTTCTCAGGGTGGTATGGCCGTAGGCACCCCCCAGCCCCACAACAGCCCTCTCCACTCACCCCTGACACGCGCACACACACACACGGCCTTACGGCCCCCAACAGCCTCCGAACGGGACACCAAACGCACACACACGTGCAACACTCACCACAAACACCCACACGCCTCACAGCCCTCACCCCACAACAACACGCTCCCCACCCGACAACGCCCTAAACCCCCTACGG